CCCCAATATGCATGTGGCAGTTAGAGGACAACTTTCAGTTAGTTCTTTCCATCACGTGGGTTCCAGGGATCAAACTTAGGTCTTTAGGCTTAGCAGCAAGAGCATTTATTCACTAGGACATATTGCTGGTCTCCCAATCTGTGTTTGTATTATAGCCCAGCTACTTGTGTTATCTTGTGATGATTGATTATCCTTTCTGCAATTCCTCTTACTCACTTATAAGCTGGGGCTACTGACAGCCCTTATGGAGTTGTGTTGGTGGGAAATTCACTCTTTTTGTACTCTGCCTAACACACAGTAAGTACTCATGTTGAATCATGTGCACACTTTTTCAGAATAAAATCCTAGAATCAGAACAGCACAGTGATGAGAGTGTCTCCTCTCAGGAGGGAGCCAGTGTGTATGACATACTTGGAGCTGGGGCTAAGGTTTGGCTCAGCAATGGAATGCTTGCCTACCCTGCACGAGACCCTGGTTTGATCCTCAGGGCTTCCAAAAGAAAAGAGCTTGAAACAGTGCCTCGCTGTGTCCTAATCACTGCATAAGAATTGTTGTTATGCCCAGATGTGGAATTATTGGGTCAAAGAGAATATGTAGTTTTAGAATATACTCCTTAAACTTTTTTCCAAACTTATTATGTAACGGAATACAATGACTTCTCTTGGTGAGTGTAAATGTGTGTGACCAAATGATGAAATAATGGATAAAGATTTATCATTGTGAATAAGGAGGGCCCTCGAGTTATTTGCAAAGCAATAGTCTCCTTGAATGAAGTATGGTAGATATTTTATTCAGAAAGATATGGTGGCTTGAATGAGAAATTCCTCCCATAGGCTCATGTATTTGAACACTTGGTCCCCCGTTGGGGGAGGTGTGTGAGGACCTAGAGGCCCCTCCTTGCAGAAGTCTGAGAGGAAGTTACTGGGGTGCGGCCTGCCTTGCTTTGAAAGTCTGAAGAATGCTTCCGCACTGCTGAGGAGTGCATGATCAGTGCGTGACCATCCTTAAGATACAACCTTGGGGGGAGGGGGGATTTCCAGGTGCCTTTATAAGCTCTGTAACACCTGCAATAAATGAGTCCCTGCTTGACTAGGCTCCCCGTTGCGTCTGATTGTCCCTGGTACTGGGGGTGGCGTGGGCTGGTGAACAGCGTGCTTATTCATCCCCAATCATCATTGCGCGGGGGTCGCTGGTTCAAACCCCCGGCAACTGGCGCCCAGCGTGGTGCTCGAAGGAAGGTGAAAAGAAGAAAAGAAAGAAAGAAAAATAACGGATTGGGGCCAATCGAGAAGTTCAGGGTAAGCGAGACCCAAAATATGGGTAACAAAATTAATAAGCTTGAGGATCTGGTGCTTAAAGGGCTGAGAGATATGCTTAGAAGCAGGGGATTGGATCTGTCAAATCCGGTAGCTCAAAAGGTTTGGGCAGAGGCGATTCATTTGGCTCCCTGCCTACTTGGGGCTGATGTTTTTACCAGGGCTACATGGGAATCATGGGAAGAGTTTGAGGAAGAAGGCAGAAATGCAACAGAAGTAAACCAAAAGCAGCCAAAGTAACAAGCGGCACCTCCAGCATGCCCTGGCCAGCTTCAGAGCCCCCCAGGACCCATGAAAACAGGACCCATGGATGCCTTTTTCAGAAGGGCAGGGTGGAGCGGAGGGCACGGGTTGGCGGCAAAAGCCACCCACCTGGCCTGCCTTGAACTATCGCGTGAGTGGGTCAGGGGCCTGCGCAAAAGCCGGACGGGATACTGGCCTGAGTCAGGGGTGGTACAGCACCCCCATGGCTGCTGGGCACATTTAAAAAAAAAAACACAAAGAAAACCACCATTGGCTGTGCACTGTGACCAGCTCCGGGACACCTGGGAAGGCCTGGTTCAGAGAAGGTGGCTCAGGGAGGGGCCCGTCCTGTCCATTTCATGGGAGGCCAGGGAACCACCTCACCCCCGAGTGTTACAGCCCCGCCAGCACCAGCACTCACCAAATCCCAGGCTGAGGGAGCCCTTAGTAAAAGCCTACAATGTTTTCACTGACTGGGGCAGATGTGGAGAAACCAAAAAGCAGCTCAGTTCAAGGAACTCATGGCCATTGTTTTCTGACAGTATTCAGACTTGTAGGCTCCTTAAAGAGAGAGAAGCCCTATCTTCTTGCAACATCTTAGGGGGCACCAAGGATTGCCTGGGCTTTTATCCCAAGGCAATGCAGAGGCAGACAAGATGGCTTACAGGTACTGCCTCTGCAACAGCTGGGGGGTAAACCCCAGGGGACTCAAGCCCAATTCCTTGTGGCAAATGGAAGTCACACACTTTGCTCCTTTTGGAAAGCTTAAGTATATTTTTGTGTCCATTGACACATTCTCATATGCCTGTTGGGCTACTGCTCATAAAGGAGAGAAGTCTAAACATGCTCAGTCTCATTTTCTCCAGTGTTTTACAACCATCAAAACCTAAAAATTCCATTACAAAAACAAAATTCTTTTCACTTTGGGGAATTCAACACAACACAGGAATTCCCTACAATTCCCAAGGTCAAGCCATTATAGAACACATCCATCAAAACCCAAAAATTCAATTACAAAAACCAAAAGGGGGAATAAGCCCCCACCAACAGTTGGCTATGGCCTTATTCACTATTAATGTTCTTAGTTTTCAAAAAAATCAGTTGGAATCCCAGTTTCAGAAGCATTGGGGATGACAGGAGCAGAGACCTGAGGTATGGGTAAGATGGAAAGACCCCATTATGGGGACATGGAGAGGCCCAGATCCATTGCTAACCATGGGTCAAGGCTTTGGCTGTGTCTACCCTACAGGAGATTCAAACCCCATATGGGTGCCTGTGAAAAGCCTTAAGTGGGTAGGCCAGGATCCAACTGACTAGCATGACGGTCCATGGACAATAGTTCATGAGACAAAATATCTCTCTTTATTTGTATCCATCTGAGGTGAAGGACCCAATTCCTTGGCTTCATTGCCAGTCAGCCTCTTTGCCTTTCAGACAACTGGCTGATTGGCTAAAAGGAGCATGGTCTCTGATGTATTTCAACTTGTCCTATGCCATGACTTGCTTTGTTTCTCTTGATAATGCTTATCTTTAAGTGTCTACCAGATAATTCGGTGACAGAGGACCCTTGGAACTGCCACGGCCCACCTCCTCATGATTACGGACTCCCCCAGGACCCCCTCTTGTTGCCCATGCTTGGCTAACCGAGTTAGGCAGAGACTAAGACT